GTAAAATATCCTCCACAAACATGTATTTTTTCATTGAATTAATTTCGCCCCACGATTACCTTTCGTACATTAAAATTTGCCACGACCTAGGTAATTTTTATCCAACTTTTCTCTCCGTGTATTTACGTTACTTTTACAATGTATCCTGTCAGTCTGAATCCGGGAACTTCTCGAGAATTCTGGATATTCAGGTACTAGGAGCAGCTCAACAACCCATAGGAGAGCAGTATAAACGAATTCCGAGAGTGGGTGGAAAAAGCCCGAATTGAACTTTTCACGAACAGTCGTAAAAGCATTGGAAACAGAGAGGATAAAATAGGAAATGTGGAAACCAGCCTTTCGGTAGATGAAAGAAGCGAGACAAATGAGTTACTGCGATTGTTGTTCATCTCGAATGAGAACAAAGAAGCGAATGGAAACAGAATGACAATAAGTGTATTAATTACAGAGTCACTGTTACGGAATTTTATTCAGATACCGCGGAAAGCCGGCGAAATTGGCTCGAGTCTCGTAACTCGCGTGTCCTTACTAATAAAGAGGATTGAAGCAAACTGTTCATGAAAGCCAAACGGTAGAACACGTATGAAAAAAATTCACTAGAAAACCTTAACGAATTCACGAAAAAATTCTATTGGAATAGGGAACTTGCATGTTTTTTTATATTTTCTTTTTCTCAAATATATGCCCCCAAGAATTCATATTTGATAAGGAAACTCATGGAAAATAGTTTAATAATTATGTATTTGCTTTTAAAAATTGCATTTTTTAAACGTTCTAAAAAGGCCTGTGACGTCAACTCACCGGAGGCCGAAATTGTCGTGTGGCGCCGTCAAGCGGTTCAGTACAGCTGCTGAAATCTAGGAAAATACTCTGTACATGTATTTGGCTCCAAAATGTCGGAAAAACCGGATCGAGCGATGAAAGTTCCTTATAAATATTGTTTTGTACCAGGATGTAAAAATACAACAGTGAAAATTATACAACCACGAGTTTCGAGTCTTTGACACAGATTTAAACCCATAAAATCTGTCAATATAGTCACGTCTACCGTTGAGGTATGATGTGACAAATGATTTTCACGCCTTTTGAAAATCATTTTTCAGCACAAACTTCATTTGTCAGTGCCAATATATTTTTTTTATCTACTTTTAATCATTGTTTCAAACATAACCCCCTCAATTTGTTTTGGTTGAACATCTCGCACTTTAAGAGGCTAGAATCACTCAATAGCGCTGCTAGTAGTCGCAAGGGGAACTTGATTCCGGTGAGCTGACGTCATGACCCCAAAAAAGTTTTCAAAATTGATGCATTTTTAATCAGTTATTACAAAATATCCAGACCACCTTTCGGAAAACTTTTTACTCTGGAATGGTTCATAAACTACAATGACTCTATTCATTTTAAACTACAAGATCTAGGCGCCCGCTCTCGCGCCCGCTGATCTATTCGTTTGTTGACATGAAGAAATGGAATTCATTAAATTTAATTTTCTCATGAATACCTTATAAATATTGATAATGAATCAAAGAGAATTCGACTAATGATTGAAGTGAATAGCGAAGTAGAGGAAAAGACTCTATAAAGAATTATTCATTTTCAATTAATTATCTTCAATTTTTTAAAATAATCGGTCTCTATAAAAGGACAGAATTTATTAATTTCACCGATGATATATATACATGTGAAATATATATATTATATATATATAACGTGGAAAAAAAATTTACCACTGAAGAATTTGAAATTATGTCACTAAAGAATTTGAAAATGCCGCGTGTCTTTTTTTGTGAATAACTTCGTGTCACATATTGACCAATCAAAATTAAGGATGTGGTCAGGCAGTTTCGAGATATTTCGATATAAAACAACTTCACGTTTCTTTCATCTTTAGTAAATAGGATTCGAAAAGTGGACTCTACGCAAGTTCCCTATTTTTTAGAAATTGTGGGGATTCTACTAAAATTCTAGAGAATTCTCATTAAATTTTTGCGCAGATTCTGCTAGATATTTTATAGAGAAAGTCAATAGATTTCGATTTTTTGTTTGAATTTTTCTCCGTTTGAATTTGAATTCATGAATTTGGAATTATTTTAAATGTTCAGAATTTGTTAAATTCAGTACGTAAATTATGCAATTTACTAAAATTGTACACATTCCGGTGGAAATACCTCTGGATTATGCGGAATTTTCTGTTATCAGTCGCGTATTATCGCACAACGAATATGCTGTGCCCGGCGAAATGCTCCGATGATTAACGACCAACAAACATCCCCGTGAAATGCAAACTGACCTGAATTATCCTCCCTTGATCTATTCTATATCTAATCATGGTTGACTTTAATATTCATCTCGCACCCTCCACTATCACTGTGTTCATCGAAATTGGAACGAAAAATAACCTGTCAGCGAGAGTACTCCAGCGCACTTTGTGACAGTTTATCGTGATATATTTTTACCAGCTTTCAATCTGTTCTGTACGAAATAAAACGAGCGATGTCATTATCTCCGGGAAATTCACCACCCGGTGTCGTTAAAATTTACACAATAACGTTGTCGGGGGGGAACTCGTCACTCCCTGGAAAGAAGGCGTTCTGTCTCGTGAATCGTGTACGATGCAAAGAGCATTTTGCCTAAAATGTCACATTAGATCGGTTATTCGTTGATTTTGTCTGCTGGTTGCGAAAATTAAAGTAGCTCTACCCTTACGGCGAATTTAAAGATTATTGAAAACTGCCAGAAAATTGCAGAAAACTCGATTAGATTCGGAATTCTAATTTTTTCGCAATTTAATTATCGTTTTGGTTTTTCAAAGAAGAAATGTTTTAAAATCAGGATTGAACCCAGTGTCTTATGTGAAAATCAACATTTCCATTGCAATCAAAGATTAAAATCAGAATTTGTTTCATTAGATGTGAAAAAATCGCGATTTTTTTTGACACCTCATAAAAAATAATCCACCGTTTTCCAAACAAGTTTTATTATTTATTTATAAGAGGGGAATGTTTGAAAAAATATCAATATTTTGCGAAATTTAATTTAGATAATACTGACTGGGTATGAATTTTTTCAAATTTTTCCCATGTAATTCAGTTAAAAAATTTAAAAACTGAAAATATTCAAATGTACAGCGTAGCCCGGCCGAAGGGTAGAGCTGCTTTAAATATGATTGAAAGTCATTGCTGGATACTACAGATTCAGCTCGCATAGAAAAATATATTAAAAATATATATAATATAGGCCAATTTAATATATTCTTAGAATATATATAAGATTTATAAAATATTTATGCAACATATATAAATTTAGATTTTACACTGTTAGAAAATTACTCTTGAAATTTCCAGTGAAAAAGTTTGAAATTTTCAACAACGACAAATTTACATGAAATTTGTGCAGATTTCTTCATGGACGAATCACTTAATTTCTTTAAATTCAAGGAATTGTCGATTTTCAGGTCCATGCGGCAAAAATCTTGAAAATTTTGAGAATTCCGGCAATAACTTCTCTGAATTTTCAATCTATTGAAGATTAAATTGTACGTGATGTTCAATTTTCACGATGAGTTTGGAAATTCGAGCACTCATTGAAAAATCAATGATTGTTTAACATGAAAAACCGAATTTTTTTGAATTTTCAAGATGAATGAAAAATTTAGTGAACGTTGTCATTTGAAATTCAATAGCGAAGTTCAGTAGCAAGTCGGCCAAAAACTAATAGGAAAGTCAATAGAAATCCAACAGAATTGACAATTCTGTTGAATTTCTATTGACTTTTCTATTAGTTTTTGGCCGATTTTAAATTTCTATTTTTTTTTCATCAAGAAAATAAAACCAAAAATTATTCTATTCTATTTTCTATTTTAATTCAATTTTTTTTGTTTTATTTTCTTGATGAAGAAAAAATAGAAAATTTGAACCAAGGAGATGCTATAAAACATATCCGAATAGAATAAATTGTAAAGAAAAATCGGATTGTATTCACGTTTTTTTATGGAATATATACGTATACTTTTTCCTAGAATTATAAAAAAAATTCTCCTAGAATTCCTAGAGTTATCTGTCTGTGAAATAAATTTACTCTAGACATAAATTTATTCTGAAGATTTATTTGGACAACAGGGCTTGGTGCAAGCGCCCCTAACTGTTATCACATCCGAGATTTCCCGAAAATTCGATATATTATTACAGAATCGCTTATCAATTTCACGCATGTACGCGCATGTTTACCAGTTCGCTGGAGGAATCTTCTCCGGAGGTGTACCAACTCGATTCCGTGACATTTGATTCACGGACAAAATTTCCACGACAAAATAACCGATGATAATTTATGCATCGTCAATTTTACTACCGACCGTATCTCCACTCATCAACAAAACTTCGCATTAGAAGAAAAAAGAATTCGTGTAACTGTTCATTTTCGGAGATTGTAGGCACATGAACAAAAACTCTGATACAAATGGTTATAAATTAGATTGGATGATCCCTCGATTTTAAATATAGGCAATAGCAAATGTGACGTACCCTACATCGGCTAGCAAATTTACTTTTTTCATAATTAGTGGCATTACACAAATATCGTTATCCAGTATTACCTCGAGATTTTCCCCGACTGAAGCGCAATTCATATTTCTCCTGAGTGCAGTGGAGGCCGCGCTACAAATCTCACATCTCTCTTCGTCTCAAATACGAGAATGAAAATTCTGGTATGAAAATCTACCTCGGAAACAGGGGAAACTAACATATGGCTTCGAAAATGAGATTGAAATGCAAGGGGAGATTTTACGATTGTATTTCACCTTAACGTGATTCCCCGCTTTTCAGAGTTTTATAAAATTTTCGTTTGAGAAGTTTCGAATGAAAAGCAAAAATTACTTTATTAGCAATTTCATCTCATTATTTTCATTATTTTTATTCCCACTTGATCACTGTTAGACAACATTTCTGCGGTACAACGTTGAGTTATGAAGCCCTATAAATCAGTTTCAGGCAACTAGTCCCAGGATGAACATCTCGTGGTCATCTGAGGATGGGGACACCGAGCCAATATGGCAATCACGCATCAACTCATCTTACGAGTACAACGATAGCTTTCCCATCTACGAGGATATCGGTAGGTGATCTTCACTATAGATAACGTCATTTGATGAATATTATCCCTCCAATGTTCATTATAAAGAACATTGGAGGAATAATATTTTCAAACATTCGTTATTATGAGTATCGAGAAATCGAAAAAAAAAAATTCACTAAAAATATTCTTATAGGTAGTAAAAAATAAAAAATTTTAACGCTTAATAAATCAAAATCGGATGGATAGAACTCGAGTTAATGAAAAAAAACGGAAAAAAGCCATATCTCCGAACTGGGCTGGTGAAAAAATCGGAAAAAATTTGAGAGATAGTTTTTCAACCCCCCCAATAGTAGAAAAAATTTATGGAATAATTTAACTATCTTGTGACATGAAGCAATCATTTAGTGTGAAATAATATAATTCTAGCTGTAAAAAGTCATCGTAGAAACGTGACCCTAAATTATATGTTCCTTTGATTATTTATAATTACTTTCATTATTTAAAAAAAAATGAAAGCATAAAAATACAATGAACCACTAGCTTAAGTATGCGCGCGTTCGTTTTCTAGTGACTTGAAAGTCCCGGGTAAATACATTATCGATACTTTTCACCTCGTTTTTTGGGCTCATTTCACTGAAATGTGCTTGCACAGATGAACTCTACGATGTTCCCACTGGAATAATATTTCTCCTGAGCGTCTGCTACGGGAGCATCTCGGTGCTCGCTGTAGCGGGTAATTCCCTAGTGATGTGGATCGTCGCTACATCGAGGAGAATGCAGAGTGTTACCAACTGTTTTATCGCTAATCTGGCCCTTGCCGACATTGTCATTGGACTATTTGCTATTCCATTCCAGGTGGGTATTGTTAATTAGTAATACAGTAAACCCTGCCTGTTTAAGTTCTCACTGCCCCACCGCGCGAGGAGAATCGTTCCCCACCAGTACATTCCCTTTCACACGCGTTCTCTCTCGCACCTCTCCGGTTCCACGCGCGTGGCTTTACCCCCACCAACGGATCGCATTCTAACTGCGGCGCTCTCCCTCTTTCGTTGTCAGGAGTGGGACGCCAGCGTAAGCGCTAGTTCGGAGGATTCAAACCCCCGGAGTCAAACACTTACATTCAATTGAATAAAATACACTGCATTTTTATTTTTTTATAAAACCCTAAAAAGAATCCAAAAGTAAATAAATTTAATTTATAAAATAATTAATTACGGAATTGATTAATAATTAAGAATAATTCATTATTAATATTCATTACTGAATGGTAATAATGAATTGTTATGCATTATCATGCGTAGGTTCTTCCCTCAAGGGAGGTTTCTCCTCATTCTTCGATGAGTGCCGCTCAGGGGGTTGGAGGGTGGAATGAGAGGAAAACTGTAAAAACCCGAGAGAGTATTTTTGTTATTTTCCCATTTTTTATACAATAAATCAATTGGTGAATAGAAAACGAAGGCATTTTTAACATTAATTACACTCCAATTATTACTTCAAATGGAATTTTGATTTGTTAACCCGTGGGCCAAGGGAATAACAGCCATCAAACTTTCATTTCTAAACTTTCCCCAAACTTGATTATTTACTTTGCCACCCACGTCTCCTAATTAATGAAGTTGTAATGAGAATTACTACCACCGTGAGCCATCAGACGACGCATTAAGACGATGAGTGCCCTCAAAGTTGAACAAATATTATCACAAAAATTACAGTTCCAAGCGGCACTACTCCAACGATGGAACTTACCGTACTTCATGTGCGCCTTTTGTCCATTTGTACAAGTACTCTGTGTCAACGTTTCCGTCTTCACTCTCACGGCAATAGCGGTGGATCGTCACCGGGCTATTCTCAAGCCCTTAAGGTCAGTTTTCTTGAGAGAAATTGAATTATCTTATTTGTATATTTTTTGGGAGTGTCTATTCGCACGCTCCACGGTAAATTTTACCGTGGATTCACGGTAGATTCTCACTCACATCTTGTCTGACATCTCTGCTATGAACTCTGGTTATCAGCTCTGACAGTTCAGTTGGAAACCAGAGTTATGACAACATTGTCCTGTGGGGTCTAGGAGTCTCCCCTGGTTCAAAACCATCTTTAGAGGCCCTAGCACGCTATTTCTCGACCCGCTCTTTCATTTGAGCCCAAAAAAACATTCATATCTTGCCTGACATCTCTGCTACAAACTCGTGTCTTCAACTCGGGCTTTCAATTGAAAATTCAAAAAACATTCAAAAAGTGTTTACTAGTCTACTATCTCCATATCACTTATCAATTGATTTGATTTCTCTAGTTTATTGTCTAGATTTAATTTGAGAAGTAAAAGTTGAGGGTCCACGATCTCCCATATTTTTTCCCGACCTGTATACTTCAATCGAATCCTGTACGAGAAAATTTCATAGAAAAACCTAACGAATTCGGTAGAAAATTCTATTAAATCTTCTTTTTTCAATTCTAATCATCGCTGTATTTCACTGGAAATGTTTACTGAAAACATTTTATTTAATAAAATCAATTCAACAAATCCTAGCAAAATTCTACCAATTTTCTCTCGGAATAAATTCTATTCAGCTTTTTCCATGAAAGGAATGCACAGTAAAGCTGTAGAATTCTCCAATAAAATCGGGGGAAAATTAATGGAATTTTTAATAAAAGTTTTTCTGCGAAATTTGTATGAGGTAAAGTTCATTTCATGCAAATAAACCATTTATCTGACAATGAGTGTAAAAATTCTTTGAGTATGTTTTTTAAGTCTAGAATTAGCGATATGATAACATGTCCATGAACTTCACAAGCTCGAGCCCTTCAGCTCGAAACCTGCGGTTGAATGTTATCAAATTGAATGTTTCATGTTGATTGCAGTGCGAGACCCAGCAAACTCCGTGCAAAAATCATCATCGCTGGTATTTGGATGGTGAGTGGTGCTCTCGCTGCACCGATGGCCGCTGCCCTCCGGGTTGTGCTCGTCCCGGAGAGCTCCGCTGGTGAGCTAATTAATCTTCTCTGTAACTTGTTTATCGCTCTCTTAAAAGAGTGCTCCAATTTCTCGGGGGAAAGTTTCTATTATCTGCTCTAGGGTTGGCGTGGACTACTATCTACTCCGGGAAAAAAGATTATTCACTCGGACTCTGATGCAATTACACAGTAATATCACTTGGGGTGGCTCATTCGGTGTGAAAATTCTTACGCTTCTGAGGGGAATTTATCTACCGGGAATATCAAGTTACTTGAAATTCGAAACTTTTTACTTGAGATTGAGAGCTTTCTGGCAGGAGGGAATACGTGGAGGAAAAGGTTGGATACAAATGACCTACAAAAACGGGGGAAATTTTAGTGTACGGCAATCGTGGAGCTACATGTATTCTTTCATTGGAATGCTCAATGAAAAAAAACTTTTCCATTTTCAATCATCAAATTTGTCAATTAAATTGCGTTAAAAAAATTACATTTTGCACAGAATTATCATTTTTTTAAACATTAGTTGTTTATAAATAGATAATTAAAATTGTTTCAACTTTCGGAAATCTTACTTTTTTAGGCACGAAATCGATTACTGAAAAATTCTGATTCTCACTCACATCTTGTCTGACATCTCTGCTATAAACTCTTTAATAATTTTCGTTCAGATTTATAAAATATTTTCTAACGTTCAATATCGAGATTCAAATTCAAACCTGCAAAGTTTAAATGATAAAATTATTGTAAAGTGTACGAAAACTCAAATGAAAGCTCTAATGTTCGACTACAAAAGTAGAAAAGCATTTCACTAAAAAAAAAATTGCCAAAGTACTTAGATATGCTTAAAGAAAAGAATACATGGAAATAAAATGTGCCACGTTTCACATCAGTTGTGATTTTTGAAAACGGAATTAATTAAATCCTGCAAATACATTTCTCCACTCGCGCGAGGCAGAGAAAAACTCCAACGGAGAAAAACAATCGCCGTTTCGTCCCAATTCCTAGTTTGCATAGGGAAAAAGCACAAGAATAAAACCATGTCGATTTGCCCCATGACGTTGAATAGAAAGCTCTCATTGGCCAAAGCCCGAATGTGAAAAATAATCACCAAAAAGTCAACCCATTTCACCCCTTCGCTGCTAAATTCAAATTTATTCACTAAAAAATTCATCCATTCCCTCTCCCCAGTACAGCTCACTCTTAATCCCCAGAAATAATTCAATTGAACCTTCGAACGAGGACGTTTCGTACAAATTCTCTAACAGTAAATTGCCTTTTTCCAACGCTTCTTCGATGAAAGTCAAATAAAATTACGCTTCCGAATATTTCAGCCATAAAATCGACATTTTCCCCGAGTTGACGTAGAATATTTTCCGGGTAGAGATATGGAAAGACTCTGTACACACATTTTTGGGAAATTTCACTGGTCAAACATGACCTGGAGATTGAAATTTATACGCAGAAGAGATGGAATTGCCGGTGGAGCGCAAGACATATATTTAACGATATATTCATATACTATCAATCTTGGGACAGCCTCATACGTGGATCAATCATTCGGATACGAAGGAGAGTCCCATTGTTTTCGAGCCCTGATTCAATCTCTGAACACGAAAATTCTCAATTGTCAAGTGACTATTTCAGTGTGGGTTTGACCATTTCTTAAATATTAATTTTTTTATCAGATTGATCGATTTTTTCCCATCACCTGCGAGTGTCAAATAATTTTTATTGGATGTTTTTATAATTATTGAAACAATATTAAAATGCACACTGTTAGAAATTTGTTGATATTTCAGTCACGCGTCGTCTGAATTTTCAATGTTGAGTTGGAATTCAATTTCAAATGAAAACGTTCACTAAATTTCTTATTCATCTTGAAAATTCAAGAAAATTGGGTTATTCACGTTTTGGTTAAACGATGATTGGTTTTTCGATAAAAGCTTGGATTACCAAACTGATCGTGAAAACTGACCATCGCATACAATTTAATTTTCAGTAGATGGGAAATTCAGAGAAGTTATTCCCCGAATTTTCAAAATTTTCAAGGTTTTTCAATGCCGTATGGTCCTGAACATAGATCGGTATCAATCATTACTTTTAGTAATATTATGAGAAGTTGCACCTTATAGTAATTTAGATTTATTTATCCTAATTAAAAGTTGAAAATTAATGTAATAATTGGTAAATTAATTTCTCAATTATTGGTTGATAAAATAATTGGAATTTGAATATTTAAGTTGATGATTGGTGAAATAATACAGTATTTGAAATTTAAATTGATGGTTATTTTTAAAATAAAAAAATTGACGGGTAATATTAACAATTGACTTATTTCAAATTCAACTGTAATTCAACATTTCGATTATGCCGATGTCTGCATAATCAATAATAATCAATTACTTGAATATTCTAGAAATTAACTAATTCGTCAATGAAGAATTCTACAGAAATTTCATGGAACTTTGTCGTTGTTCAAAATTTCAAGTGTTTTCACTTGAAATTTCAACAATGATTTTCTAACGGTGCATCAGAGACATGGCAGGCTTGCCATGGTGGATAGAATTTACTCCGAAACTCTGAATTTCTTGTATCATTTTTTCAAATAACTTTTTTATAAAATCTCTAAAAAGTCTGGAACATACACATGTTTTCCAGCAAGATTTGATTTCTCACCACTATTATTTTTTTAAATACCCCATTATTTTTATCGGAAATATGACAACTTGAGTCTATTATAGCTGAAAGGATTACAAAACCATCCACATTTCACTATTTTTTTTCTTGAGGCCGAGACCTAGGAAAAAAATACGGAAAAATTCCCAATGACGCAGCGAACTCAGATATTTCTCCCCTTCAATTTTCTTCATTATTTTGACTTTTCACACGAAACCCCTTAAGGCACTATCATCGTGACTTTCTATTTTTCTTCAAAGGTGTCGAATACTCTTTTGTATTCTCCGACTTCGAGCATTTTCCACGAGGGGAGATTGCATGTGACACGCGGAGAATTGAGACATAAAAAACTGGGAGTATTTTATGACACCCGGGGGGAATGTAAAATAGAGGAATATCCGTACAATTGCGAAAAGTGAAAGAGATGTAGTTGTCGAAACGAAAAAGCTGACGTAGTATTTTACAGCATCATATGAATCTGTCTTCGAAATTTATGGGGGTCTGAGCTTTTGGGAGAATGGGATATGTCTATTTCATCTCAAGGTCAATGAAATTGCTTCGACTCCAGGAATAGATCCAAGAATTTAGCTCTATTTGAGGAGTACAGGCAGATGCTCATCAGACCTGATTGAACGGATGATTTCTTTTTTTTCGCTTCAGTAAGGATATTTCCTATACTTTTTTGCGACGAAATAATTGAAATCAATTGGTCAGCCAAGGAGATCTGAACATTTTGAAATTATCATTCTTCAATCATAAATAATAAATCATAAATCATTTGTATAAAAGAAATAATTTGCATAGATTTACTTCGAAATTGAATATTCACATTCGAAAAAAATTCATAGAATAACTCAGCAAATCCACTGGAAAATTTCATTTCTTCTCAATTAAATTTCTAGACAAATCATTCTAATGATCAATTGAAACCATCTGCGCTTTTTTGCAATAGAAATGTTCAATAGAGAATATTCACACACAAAATCAATAGAATTTTTTATTGCTGTACAATTTATTGTATTGACTCATTTTCAATAGCATTTTTCGCTGCAAATTAATTATTTTTTCTCAATGGAATGACAAGAAAAAAAGGATACAAATTACAATAACTTCCCTGCCCGGCAAGTTAAAAAACTTGAAAAATTCATGTCGAGGAATTTCTACGGAAAAAGTTTCAATAAGAAAAGTTCCATCGAAAGATGTCATTCAATATTTTCAAAAGAATTTCAATTAAGGCCCGGGTGTACTATCTTCCAAATGTTATCGGGATTTTTTTATCTTTCGTAATCCAAAATTGTCAATTGAGTGGTACATCATGTAGAAATTCCCAAAAATTATGATAGAATGATAAAAAAATTGATTGTCAATTGAGTGGTACATCATGTAGAAATTCCCAAAAATTATGATAGAATGATAAAAAAATTGAACTTATTCTGAATATAAATTAAAAATGCTCTTTGAAAAAATTAAGAATTTATTCTACTTTTTTTGATTATTCATTCATAATTTTTCAAAACTTCTGCATGATGCAGGACTTAATTGACAATTTCAGATGACGAAAGATGAAAAAAAAACATCGAGACAACGTTCAAAAGATAGTACACCCGGGCCTTTTAAATTCCAATAAAAATTTCTTCGTGCGGTATAACTGAAAATAAATAATCGAACAAGAAAAAAATTCGGGAAATATCCGCATTTGGCAAAAATACTGTCTACATAAACAACAAAAAACGATAATCCTGTCACAATAATGCAAAAACTATCAATTCCCTCTGAACCAGGCGGTCGTTTTCACTTGAAGCCATTCTGTCAGAACGTAAATATGTCAGAGAGATCAATGCTGACGTATCGTGCACTCCTCGGTTTCCTCCAGTATTTAACGCCGCTGACTATAATCTCCTGTGTTTACGCGCGAATGGCATTAAAACTCTGGGGAAGCAGAGCACCAGGCAATGCCCAAGACTCTCGAGACGCTAATCTCATGAAAAATAAAAAGAAGGTGGGTAAAAAATCTAAAATTAAACTCTCTCAATATTGACGTGACCTCTCCTTCATGTCCCAGGGGATTTTATTACCTAACTTTTATCATGTACTATTCTAATCTCCAGGTAATTAAAATGCTGGTCATAGTAGTTGCATTGTTCGCGGTCTGCTGGCTACCTCTGCAGACGTACAACGTGCTTCAGTACACTTACGCACAGATTAATGAGTATGTTGATCAATTTTTCATTAGGCTATTGACAATTTTGCGTGGGGGAAAACTGGATCCCTTGGATAGCCAATAGTAATTAAAACCCAGATAGTAATTCAGTAGCGAAGTGATCAAACGGTTTAAATCAATTTAGTCTTTAGTCGAGTTTTCCAGAAATATTTCCGAATTTCAGGGAGATAGCGCAATTTTCATAATAACCTTTTTTGTAGAGCGAATTTAGTGCTACTAAAAAGGTTATGAGAAGAATTTCGCTATCTCCCTTAGATTTCGAGATATTCATTGAAAACTGGCCAATAGCCAAAATCGACTTAACCGTTTGACCACTTCGCTACTGAATTAATTCGCTAGAAAATTCTTGGCTGATTGTGTTGAAAAATTCCATAGCTCATCTGCTCGTTTTTTTTAAATGAAAATGCTTGATGGAAAATATTATAGACTAAAAATGATTCGAATTCCTTTTTTGGCTTAATCACTATTAAAGAGTAAATATTTTTCATTACGTTATGAATGAATATTCAGAAATTCACCTCTTTTAAATACCATATCAACGAGTAATAATAGAAAATGAAAATAATGAAAAATAATAAATAATAACAAATTATTATTTATTTAATCACGAATTTAACTTGAATATTTCAGAGTAATCATTCAATCAATAAGGAAAATCGTAATATTTCTATTCCTTGTGACGAAAGTCATCGTATTTTTTAATTTTCCATTATCCACTAGTATTACAATGAATAATTGAAATTAATATTTCCTGTTCAACATTTTCCATTGATATGATAATGAAAATTAATTTTATACCATTATTGATTGAAAAATTATTTGTTTCATTTTTTATTTTCATTTCTCCTCAGTATCGCAATGAAAAATACATTTAGTGTTATTATTCATTACAAAAAATTCCTAATTCAATTTTTTTATTAACCCTTGATATGAATGTAATGAATTATTAATAATGGAAAAAATTCTCGAATTTTCCATTTTTTTTTGTTTCATTCCTTGGAAATATTACGTATGGAAAAATTCCATAGGAAAATTTTATTCCATAGAGGAATATCTATAGAAATTCAATTGAATAAATTGCATGAAAAATAGAATTCTATTGATTTCCATGATTTTATAAATAAATATGTTTTTTACTCATTCCAAAAAAGTCGAATAAAATAAGAAAAAAATAACTAAAAATAATTAATCTTACTGATATTATCAACAATAATTTGCATATTTCTCAATTACGAAAACAATTCGTATAATAAAATAAAGTAATTTCAAAGAATTTCGATCAATTATTTAAAATAATAATGCAGTTAAGCCGGCAAAAGGAGCACTAGAAATAGAAAAATTATTGAATTTCACTGTTTAGATCTCGAATTATTGATGATTCGCGACGGTCCATTTTACCCCTCCCACTGACGGTGTAATTTCGAATACAAGTCTCTCACCTCCTGTTCCAGGTACAGGTACATTAACATTATATGGTTCTGCTGCGACTGGCTAGCCATGTCGAACAGTTGCTACAATCCATTCATCTATGGAATTTACAACGTGAGTTGACTTTGATATATTAATTATACAATACGATAACTCGAGTTCGAGATTTATTGGGGCTGCACTCACGAGGGAAATTAGTTGATGATGAATGGGTTCATCCGGACGGAAAAATGAATCTTCATTTGATTAATTATCACAGTTGATCAATTAATTAACGCTCAATTGGATTGCAAGCTAAAGTTTGAGGAACAAAAATTCAAAGTTATCCTTCGGCGAAAAAATTATAATTTTTATGGATTACATAAAAGCTCGCATTTCCCCAAACGACCGCAGTTATGTGTCCTACAGAGTGCCTCACGTGCTTCAAATATTTCTGAAAAACAACTTTATAGGAATATCCCATGTTCGCATAAAAGTCAGAGACATTTACGATCTTCATACTGCAGATAGGGGCCTCGGAATTACCTTGTTCACGACGAAAAAGTAAAATGAGAGGGGAAAAAAACTGTAATCACTGAATTCTAGGTATCCCACCACGCATTATTTTACCCCTTTGTTTTATTTCCGGATTCAGGAGAAATTTAAGAGGGAATTTCAACAGCGGTGCCCATTTAGATCCAGAAAATGGTCCGCCAGTCCTCCCACCGAGAGCCTGGATATGGATAAAACGCAGACAACGAGGGCGTCGTTTAGGTACATTCTCAGGTGCTTTTTTTCATTCATTAACTAGTATTGTTGAGTAGAGGAATAAATGCGTGTGGCTTTTATTGTGTCAAAATGGATAATAAAAAATGTAGTATGTTCCCTGAGAAATTATATTGAAGTTGTGTGTGAATTTTTTAATGAAAACCTTCACTAGATTTGAGTAGATTTAACTATTGTCCATTTTTGATGAATATCTCGAAATCTAAGGGAGATGGCAAAATTTTTGTTAGAACCTTTTTTGTAGCCCTCAATTCGGCGTACAAAAAAGGTCCTTACGAAAATTGCGCTATCTGCCTTAGATTCGGAGATATTCCTCGAAAACGCAGCTGACGACCATTTTCAATCATTAAATTCGTCGATTAAATTTTGTTCAAAAAATTTGAAAAAAATCGGGAATATTCAGCGGCATTCAAATAACATTTTGCACAGAATTATTATTTTTTTAAACATTCGTTAGTTATGAATGAATACTTGAAATTGTTTAAACTTTCGGAAACTTAATTTTTTCAGGCATAAAATCGATTTCTGGTAAAATTCTGAATATGAATAAATTTGATAGCGGATATAAAAATCCGTTTGGCCTACGCCTTGTGTGTTAGAACCCCGGATTTCAGTATTTATCTCTTAAACTATGTAGTACACTGAGAGAAAAACAAACACGTTCTCAAATAAGTCTTGTTTGGGCCAACAAAATCGCTAGTTGAAAATTGCCAAAAAGGAATTTGTTTGGTTCGAATTTGAAAGTCTCAAACATGAATAATTGTTCTGCTTTCGACAGCAACGAAATATTTGGCTCAAGAGGCGAATAATTCACACCAGACGGTGCCTTTTCAGGATGAAAATATCTCATATAGAGGAAAATTTATCAACAAATATTTTATCCCTAAGTTACAAAATTGCTATCATATCATCATTATTGTTTCATTTAGGGGTTCATTTCTTGTCTGTGATTATTAGACAGCCAAAACGAAAAACTACTATCCCTTGTTCCGCATAAAACAAAGATTTTTCGGGAGCAAAATACGTATGGGAGTATCGAATAACGAAGGAGTAGTGCTAGAAATGACATTTCTTGCGTGTACAGAGAACGCAATTTTTTTTCAACTACTAAATTTATTTTTGCGATAAAAATTTTTCATTCCAGCGCACTCTCTGCATGTTTGGCACAAAAAAATCCTTTTTTGATAATTTTCAAAAAACTATTTTCTTGGCGCAAGTAAGACTTGTTCGTGAACTTTATCATTTTCCTCTCAGTGTATAAGTGACATATATTTCTGTACACATTTTTTCCATGTGGGCAATCTAGGGTTAAACCCTTCATCGCTTCGCTACTGAGTTTTCGTCTCCAAATACCAATATATAAACCCTTCATTCGTACATCCACTAATAGTCATCAACACTATAAATGAAAATTGAAAAATTATGAAATAATCCCTAAACCCTTCTGTTCAGATACGACTGGCGCAGGCCAACATCCGGCTACCAGTCCAGCAGTTCGTTCTACCGTGGGGTCTCCCTTCGCGATCCCTCCCGAGTCTCCATCAACAGTTTCGACAATGACTCACGGTCACTGAAATCCGGCTGCTGCATCCGCAACGGCAACAATAATCGCACCAGCACGCACAGATCAACGAACAGGAACAATGATATTAACACCGCTGAATTATATGTTTTCTCATCTGGTCGGCATAAACATACCCGCGATCTTGGTGAACACCAGGAATTGTGTCTGTGATGAAATTAAATCCACGTGTAATGGTCAACACTGAACACGAGACAGGGTGGACCGAATTTACGGATTGCAAATCAGTAGTGAAGCGGTAAACCGGGTTAAGTCGATTTTGACTTTTGATCAGTTTTTGATGAATATCTCAGAACTTAAGAGAGATAGCAAAATTTTTCTCATAACCTTTTTTGTAGAACCAATTAAGGGCTATAAAAAGGTCATAACAAAAATTTTACTATCTCTTTTAGATTCCGAGATATTCGTCAAAAACTGGCCAATGGTCAAAATCGACTTAACCCGGTTTACCGCTTCGCTACTGAAATGTATTTCTGGTCGTGTTTTTGTTGGCGCTCATCATCTTCTGTTCGATGTTTTGGAAATCATTTCAGAGGTAGCCATACTCATAAATTAGAATTGCAGTTAAGGCCCGGGTGTACTATCTTTCGAACGTTATCTCGATATTTTTCTTCACCTTTCGTCATCTGAAATTGTCAATTAAGTCCTCCATCATGTAGAAGTTTTGAAAAATTATGAATAAATAATTTTTAAAAAAATAGAAGAAATTCTTAATTTTTTCAAAGAGCATTTTTAATTTGGATTCAGAATAAGTTGAATAACAAGAAATTGAAAAATTATCTGATTTACGGTGACAAATGGCGGCCTGTCACCCAATATCATGCAGGGGGTAGACTGATTTCGTAAATCTTTTCCCACACTGCACAGATATATTTATTACGGAAAAGGCTCTTTGAAGAAAGTTGTAATATTTTGGAGAATTTTTTAATCACACTTTTATCACATAAAAATGGCAGATGACTACATACCACTGTTTTGAAAATTGAGATAACTAGCTGTCACTCCCATGAGGAGTTAGCGTTTTGTTATCTACCATGGAAAATGACAGCTAATAGATAATTTGCCACAGCGAATCAGATATTTGTAATTTCCACTTTTTTCAACTCATTCTGAATCTCAATTAAAAACGCTCTTTGAAAAAGTTCAGAATTTTTTCTATTTTTCTAATCATTCTATCATAATTTTTGGAAATTTCTACATGATGTACTACTCAATTGACAATTTTGGATTACGAAAGATGAGAAAAATCCAGATAACATTCGAAAGATAGTACACGCAGCCCTTAATCATCAATTAAATATTTGAATTCCTAATTATTTTATCAACCAATAATTTAGTTAGGAAGATTGACGATTATTTGGTTAATTAAAAATCCTTTTTATAAAATTTAGTATTATTTACGCAATGGACAATTGACAATCCCGTATTATCAATTATTTTATTGTTTTTTAATTTTGATTTTTTCTATTAATATCGAAGAATCCAATATTAATGGCATCCCTGAATAATTTTCATGGGCACAGCTCAAACGCTTTCGGAAATATTCTTGGGGGATTGGGGTAATCCAAGTGCTATTAACATTCTTCAATTTTTTTGTTGGCATATGTGCAAAAACAGTGGAAATGTTCGTAATAATCAGAATCACCGAAATTTGGGAAATATATAGGCTTTTCCAGGTATTCCCTCACGTGTGAAAAAATTTAATGAAGAAATGTAGAACATTTTATTGCATTTCAATTGGAAATTTGTGAAAATTCTGCTGGAATTATATTAGAATTCTTTTTGAAATCATTAAAAAAATCTATTAGTCTTTAAATATTTCATTCGATATTTTGATAGAAAAAAAGCTGATAAATGTTGACTTTTCAGCAGAACGTGATTTTTTCAATGTTATTCTACAAAAATTTTTGAACATTAATTCACAAAATTTTTTCAATTTTTTTTATTATGAAATTTCAATTAAAAAAATATGAAAAATTCAAATAGAACTCGATTAGAATTTCTCACAACTAGCACTACCTTTCTCTGTAAAATTTTTCACAACTAGTCCACAAAAACGAATTATAAAAATGATGAATATGGATCTCTGAAAACATTTTGAACAGAAATGAATTTATTAGAAGATTGAATAAATGATTTCTAGGGTAGAAACATCATCCAAGTACTTGGAGACGTGTGAAAAAAATTAATAGAAAAACCTGAGGCTTTCCCTGAGAATGTCTATAGAAAAATTGAAATCTAAATTAGAATTCCTTTAAAAAACAAACAGATTTTTCAAACAGAATTCCAACAAAACCTCAAAAGAACTCTTACAGTTCCAACAGAAATTCAGTACAATTTCTTAGAGGAAGCGCCAGGTTTTTCCACTAATTTTTTTCACTCGTAGATATCCTTGCAATGCCCCAAGGTGAAATTAACAACGAATGACCAAACATTAGTCACATCCGATCATTACCATAAACTCCTATTCAATTACCTCGAGGAATAATTTTTATTCTAGTCAAATTAAGGACACATTTTGGGGGAAAACACTCGCGTTTATAGTTGTAAATAATAATTAAGAGAATGAAAAAGATGATTGATACTCTTGTTCATCCTTATATTTTTTTGAGTGCATGCAGGATGACAGGACAGTAGTGATTTTTCTTAATGATGAATGCAATTTGAGGGAACGAATTCATTGAGGATGCCTGAGTGAGATATTTTTAATATTTTCCGACCTCGTCGAGTCGATTATGTCCAGTATTTTTGCATTCAACGAAAATGATATTTTTTCAGAAAGTTCTTTCATTCCAAAGACTATCTCACCTAGATGTCCTGTGCTGGAACGAATTGATTATGAATTGCTGCAGACAATTTCCCTTCCTTTTGTAATTTTCTATTTCGTTGGAGGAAAATTCATGGAGAAGTGGTGAAATGTAGAAATTAGGTGAAAGTTTGATTCTCGTTGTTCTGTATTTATTCCGAAAACAAATGGCTCTCATGAAATTTTCAACAAAAAATAATGTGACATTTTACCACTTCCCTACTGAAATCATTGTGCCTGCCAGAAACAGGCAAGCATCAATGTTAATTAATTAGGGGCTAAGAACTTCTCGATATTTCATTGTAAATAAATGTTAAATTTTAAATACTACACTGTGATCCATGTAAACTGGAGATTTAATAAAAAAGAGATACTTCTACGATAATATTCAACAAGAGATGTATTCAAAAATATTGAAAATCAGTCAATCATAGTTCATGTTATTCCTTCTCTCGATGTCCCTTATTTCGAGGATGTCTGTCTTAAGATGAAGCTTCATTATTTCACGCCAGATATCCATTCTGTGCTGTTCATTCACGATTCCCAGTCTCAACAGGATGTTCTCGTTGATTCTGAGCAAAACGCGTCCTGTTATGTCGTGCTGAAACGAGTGAATTTGATAATTTTTTAAAAATTATTCCTCAATCGATGGAGATTGATTCAGAATTCAGAAACGGCGTGATAAAAAATTGGAAAACCAAAAGTCGAATATCAACGGTCTTCCTGATGGAGAATTGGACCGACGAGGTTTACTGAGATCCTACAATAAAAATCATGGAGATTCTGTTGAAAAAATGGTAGTGGTTAAAAATGAGGAGGCGAGAATGGAAAATGATATTGAACCTCATTCACTTGTAGCTCGGGAGATTTTTCGACAAGGACATGAACATTTATTGTTATTCTGAGGATAAAGACGACATGAGGAGTGATATACTCAGGAATTTGTTGTCACAGAGGTCTCAGAGGAAGACTATTTTGAATGAACACTCGTACGCATCGTCACCTGCATTATCTTCACCAGTGGCTGATGTAAAAATCAATCTGAATAATCAGAATCAGAAATTGATTATTCTTAAGAGGAATTTACCTGTCCTGGGGGATCACAATTACTTCAAAAAAATCAATGACTCACAGTTGATCGATTACTACGACAAATTTCACACACAGAGCATGGTAGTTGACCATGATTATTACGACAGAAACATGGAGCAGAAGAAGAAGATTTGCGTAGACTCATATCCCTGCAAACTATATTCAAGAGGTTTTACGTCAGTTATACCCTTGGAGAAACACGAAGTCGTTGATGGAATTGCTGAGTCTGATCACTGGGATCTCTGTCCTGATATGATGAATACCTCAATTGCTAATTATTCAGAGTGGACGGAAAGTCAGAGACCGGGTTTTTTATTCGTCAAGTGTGAAGAGAATTTGTGAGGTGAATACACGAGTAGAAAACCCTGAGATAAATTTTCACGTGTTGACTCAAGTATACTCAATTATGTTAATGGCTCAGGTGCATGTTCTAAACGTGTTGATTCACTCTATTGTGTTTACTCAAGTTAACGGACCAAACTGAACTAAATTGAGTAACTAGTTTACTCTACTGTACAGCTACAGTTGCAAATTTAGTCATGGCATTCAGACCTCACGTGCGAGTTAATAATTGATTTTGGGAGGTGCTAATGGCTGCCATCCGGATAATCGCCCGCTGTTTATGGAAAATATTAATCGACCTGCAGAAATCAAATTTACCTCAATCTAATTCGCAAATTAATTCGACGGATCAAGTTGGAAGAAAAGTCTCCAGTAATTTCGTAATTATCTGGAGAATGAGGGGTTTTACAAGAAATTGTCAACAGACTTTTTTTGTAGCTGACAAAATTTTCCACAGAAAAATCCCTTTTTATTTTTGTCCAATTGTAACGAGACAGGAGAATTAATAACGATGTAAATTAATAGAACAGGGGAGGGGGAATAAAATGAGCTTTCTTAAATCTTGGATATATCCAAATGATGCAATTCGAGCAAGTCAGGCCTCATTTTGAAGTCTGAAAAAATGTCCTCAGAATGAAAAGAAAACGGTTCAATTTTCCTCCCAACCCGTATTCAATAAAAATCATCAACTGCTCCCTAGGCACACGACTTCAGGAGTCAATTTTGCCTCAATCTAAATCCCGAATAAATTCAATACATTAAGTTCAATGAAAACTCTTCCCGAATTTCGTAATTATCTGGAGAATGAGGGGTTTTACAAGAAATTGTCAATTGACTTTTTTTGTAGCTGACAAAATTTCCTACAAAAAAATCCCTTTTTATTTTTGTCCAATTGTAACGAAACAGGAGAATTAATAACGATGTAAATTAACAGAACAAAGGAGGGGAAATAAAATGAGCTTTCTTAAATCCTGGATATATCCCGACCAGATGATGCAATTCGAGTAAGTCAGGCCTCATTTTGAAGTTTGAAAAAATATCTTCAGAATGAAAGAAGATTTTTTCAATTTCACTCTGCCGATCCGATGTTATTGAACATCGAAGACAATCAACCATCCAAAACACGAACTTCCTCGATTTTTTTCCCAATTCCCATCCAATGAAAACCCTCACCTATTCCCCACTCATACTCCTAATTTTTATGAAGCTAAAACTAGCGAAAGATTCGACAGCAGAAGATTTGTCTTAGGCAAATCTAGGAGTGTACAAATGTTTTAAAATAATATACAAACTCCTTCGCACTTAAACAGCATTTGTAGGGGAGGGTGGGGTAAAACGGACACTAGACTTTTTTAAAATTATTCATAACTCAGAAACAAATTGATCAATTGAGCTCAGTTTAGGCTCGTCACAAAGGGAAAGAATTGTTTTTTGTATTGAAAAAAAAAAAAAATTACATTTTATCAACATTTCAACCTCTCATTAACATTTTTAAAAAAGTCAAGTGTCCGTTTTAGCCCAACCTCTCCTACATATGATTATTAGAATCTCCTACACTTAAATATCCGCTAAATTCAATTTTCCCCGGACGAATATTCTGCTAGTTTCAGCTTCATCTAGTTTTTTGATACTCACGTACAAAAACCTCTCGTGATAAAGCTGATAATGATCACTGCAGTGTCTCCTCAACCATTTCTGCACGTCGAGTACATTCCACAGATAAACAGGTCTGGGTCTGGCTGTTTTGCTCTGAGAATAGGTTAGAATTCCCTCACCATTAATTGCCCAATTCCACAAAACAATTAGCAAATTAAAGAACTTACCTTGGGTCTGTGACAAGGACTGGTCGCCTCCTCCACCATCGTAAAAATATAAATCCACAATCAATCAACAAAATGACAAAAAACCAAAATGTTCGCGTCTATTTCATTCCCTAAGTCCATCCGTCCATCGTAAAATATTTCTCACTCGTTTACTCTCATTCAACAGCATCAGCTAATGACAATTAATCATGCAAATTAAATTGTTAACTTCGTGTGGATGGATAAATAAAAATAAGAGGGACGAAGATGACAGAACAGAACGGAGAAACAGAAACTAACTGCGACATCATCACGCAAAATTCTCAACTACGACAATAACATAACCAACAATAACCACTTGGTGATGTTCAAGTCATCAGATATCATCGACAAAGACACTAGACACTTGACTGGAGATCGTAAAAAACTGCGAGCACGTGGAATTCGTAACTATTTCGCGTAGATGTGATTTAAGAATGTAAACAACAGGTGTGGAGAGGGATTCTTGGATTTTTTGGATCGCATTGGGGGGTTTCTACAAGTAGAAAAGAGGAATACAATGTTTGGTGCAATTACTGTTCGTGCAGTTTGAAATCTTCGAGGGAAATTGTTATTGATGAGTCCATTGACGTAACCTCTGATTTATTTGGCCATGACGATGGAGAAGTGTCGATTGTGTGGAGAGGAGAGCAGCAGTTTATCACCCATTTTCAGTGGTAAATTTAATATCGCTGGGAAAATAGTCACGTGTCTTCCGATTAAGGTGAATAATCGATGATTTTTAGAATTATTTTAAAAATTGCAGAATTGAGAATAAAAATTTGTGGGGAAATTTTTTTGTTCGTAGAGATGATAAATTGATAATTGATCCTTCTTTTACAGGTTGTGGAGAACAATGATCTACCCCAAGAAATCTGTGATTCGTGTGGCAATGTCGTTGACATTTGCTACAAAATGATCCTCAAATCGATGGAGATTGATTCAGAATTCAGAAACGGTGTGATAAAAAATTTAGAAAACCAAAAGTCAAATGTCAAAGGTCTTCGTGATGGAAAATTGGATCCACAAGTTTTACTGATATCCCACAATAAAAATCATGGAGATTCTGTTAAAAAAAGGGTAGTGGTTAAAAATCAGGAGGAGAGAATGGAAATTGATATTGAACCTCATTCACTTGTAGCTCAGGAGAGATTTTTCGACAAGGACATGAAAATTTATTGTTATTCTGAGGATAAAGACGACATGAGGAGTGATATACTCAGGAATTTGTTGTCACAGAGGTCTCAGAGGAAGACTATTTTGAATGAACACTCGTATGCATCGACACCTGCATTATCTTCACCAGTGGCTGATGTGAAAATCAATCTGAATAATCAGAATCAGAAATTGATTATTCCTAAGAGGAATTTACCTGTCCTGGGGGATCACAATTACTTCAAAAAAATCAATGACTCACAGTTGATCGATTACTACGACAAATTTCACACACAGAGCATGGCAGTCGACCATGATTATTACGACAGAAACATGGAGCAGAAGAAGAAGATTTGCGTGGACTCATATCCCTGCAAACTATATTCAAGAGGTTTTACGTCAGTTATACCCTTGGAGAAACACGAAGTCGTTGATGGAATTGCTGAGCCTGATCACTGGGATCTCTGTACTGATATGATGAATACCTCAATTGCTAATTATTCAGAGTGGACGGAGAGTCAGAGACAGGGTTTTTTACTTGTTAAGTGTGAGGAGATCTTGTGAGGTAAACACATGAGGCTATTCTCATCAAGTGTCAAAACCACTACTTTTGAGCGCTTCTCAATAAATTCTCATCTTTGTTAATTAATAATCAATAATTATTTTTTCTTTTCAGTGGCATTGGGACCTTAGGGCGACAGGTTTGGAATGGACGCACTGGAATGACACCATGGAGGGCAAAAACATCATTTTCGTTCGAGCAAGATGATTTAAAGAAATTCTAATCATAAGGGGATTCACTCAACCCAGTAGAAAATGTCAGAAGAACTTTTTTGTGGCTGGAATTTCCAGAAAGAATGACTCTGGACATTCTATACTGAAATAACTCACCATTTTGCCCTGTTTACTCTTTTGTTTCAGTATTTGCACTGAAATCTTTCTGTTATTCTTCATTTTTCATCATTTATGTATCATTTATCAACATTTCATGCGAACTAACCCAGTGGAAAAGTGTAGACACTTGAAAAGTTCATTCATGTCGCTACATTGTGTTAATAAAATTATTATAAAACGATGAGGTTTTTTTTTTCAATTATTGCGTGATTTTTTATTGAGAATTACGTAAGTTACCCTGATTTTTCGATTGTCAATCCTCCGAACACAATTATTGATTGATAAAACAATGCGGAATTTGGATATTTAATTGGTGATTAATTTAATAATTTAAAATTCATGAGTACTATCAATTATTGACGTCTTGAAATTTAATTTTATTTGAAATTTATTATTCTGCCGATGTCAGGTCTTAAATAGAGACTTTTAGCAGTCTCAAGTTAAGACTCAGAACCCTTCTTAAGGATGTTTAGCCAGTGTCGGTAAATTGTCGGTAAATGTGTTTTTTTCGCGGTCAAGGAAAATTCTGTAATTTTTTCGGCCGACAGCAGAACATATAAAACTAATTTTTCTAACGTTAAAAAAAATTAATCGCAATAGTTTCGGCAGAAATGAATAAACTAATTTTTCCTTATACTCGGGCTCTTATGAAATTAATGGTCAAATTGATAATTCACCTACTAGAAGGGTTTAAAAATAGAAATAAAAATAGAAGGTAATGTGGGAAATCATACTGAATCCAATGGCCAGAGAAAAATCTGGAGTACTCGGGCAAAAAGAGGAAATATTTGAATGATTCTATCCCATATTAGCGCATATTAGCACATGCATTTGGTGCATTTTGTCTAGTTCATTTCTAAATAATGAAAATTGGTGGATTGAAATTTGTATCAAAGTGAAGGGAAGATCTTCATCTCTCAGTTTAAAAAAAAATCAATTTTTTTAACTACTTGCGATTTTGGACAAACATCCTTCAAATTTTTTTCACGTGAAGTTCCGTAAGTCGTGCAAACTCTCAAATTGAGACGTTCAAAACTCTCGACTTGAGAATTTTAGGCTTAAAATTAAGACTTTTGAAAAACTTATTTAAGATCGTTGAAATGTTAAAACAAGGTAGGGGAGGGTGGGGTAAAATGGAAACTTTAGACTTTTCTAAAATTATTCATAACAAGAAACAAATTTATCTATTGAGCTCAGTTTAGGCTCGTCACAAAGAGAAATATAATTGTTCTTTGTATTAAAAAAATATATATTCAATTTTATCAACATTTCAACTCATCATTAATATTTCAACAAAAGTCAAAAGCGTCCGGTTTACCCCAACCTCCCTTATTTGTTTTTTGTGTGTCCCAAAAAGGGTTAAATTCCACTTCACTCCCCAGATTCCCATAATTTAACGTCACAGATTATGAGTTTCACCCAAAATTCAAATTCTCTATCTACTTACCCAATCTGCATTCCCCAGTCTCTGCAGTTCCCTGCTTGGACGACCAGCATCGGTACTCTCGGTCTTCGGGTTCAGAGCTAAACTAAACTGAAGTCGCAATTCTCTTCGTCTCGCGGCACCCACCACAACACTTCACGCGCACGCGCACACAATCATTGTCCTTGACTGCTGTCGCACAAAGAACAGAACAAAGGCACCGGTGAAAATCACCACTATCAACACAACAAAACGTCAAAACTCACGCGAAAGCCCTTTTTCCATCTTTCAAACGCCTGAACCAAAGAATCATTCAACTCCCGACATTTTCGTCATTTTCTGAGATATTGTTCATTACTCTTCATCGTGCCTTCATCAACGTTTATACTTCATTATCAACAACAACACAACAACAGCAGGGATCATCAACTCGAGATATCGTAAGGCATTAATTATGACAATATTTTGTTTAAAATATTCAAAACTCAGAAATAGATTTATCAATTGAGCTCAGTCTGAGCTCATCACAAAGAGTGAATCATTGTTTTTCAATTGAAAAATAAAATTATTCCATTTCATGAACAATTCAACACGTCATGAATATTTCAAAAAAGTCAAGTGTCCATTTTACCCTACCCTCCCCTACGTCTCTAATTTGATAAATATGACTAGATCAATTGCATTTGAGATTCCTTCACGAAGAGAAATAATTTGTGAAATGAGCACTTGATGAGAATCTCTTGGAGTGTTTTTTTCATTCCTGCATTTGGAGACGCTTTTGCTTCATTCGATGGAGCATTCGACAAGTGCACAATTTCCACTCACAACAGTACTTCATGAACAATTGAGAACTATTGGAAACACTGAGGGATATTTCATAGTCATGTGGTAACCATAGCAAAGAAAATATCGATTATAAAAAAAGCCTGAACTATTTTCACATCTTATTGCTTCACTATTTCATTTAATCCATTCCACGACCAAGCGTTTTCCCATGTTCCGCCATCTTGTGGTACGTGAGCTGGCGTGCTTTTCTTACGGCTCACTAACACTGACGGCCCCCCACTTTTCTCACACATCGACGACCGTATACGTTAGTCGTTCAATCCTATCCTCCTATATTTTTTATTTTATTTACTAAAGATTTACTAGAAATGAAAGAAACATACAGTTGTTTTATATCAAAATATCTCGAAACTGCCTGACCGCTAATCCTCAATTCTGATCGGTCAATATGTGACACGAAGTTATTCACAAAAAAAAACACGCGGCATTTTCAAATTCTTCAGTGACAATTTCAAATTCTTCAGTGGCAAATTTTTTTTTCACGTCATATATATATATTATATATTTTTCACATGTATATATATATATATATATATATATATATATATATATCATCCGTGAAATTAATAAATTCTGTCCTTTTATGGAAACCGATTACTTTAAAAAATTGAAAATAATTCATTGAAAATGAAAAATTCTTTATATATTTTTTTGCTCTACTTCGCTATTCACTTCAATCATTAGTCGAATTCTCTTTGATTCATTATCAATATTTATAAGGTATTCATGAGAAAATGAAATTCAATGAATTCCATTTCTTTATTTCAACAAATGAATAGATCAGCGCGCCAGAGAGCGCGCGCCTATATCTTGTGGGTTAAAATACCATTTCTATCTGACTTTCAACTAATAAAAAAAAATAATATCTCACATTCATAGATTAGTTTTCACCAAGAACCAAACGACATCACCACAATTTTTTTTTCAATGACTTATGTCTCCAATTGGACAAATATGACCAGATCAATTGCATTTGAAATCCCTTCACAAAGAGACATAATTTGTGAAATGAACACTTGATGACAATCTCTTCGAGTGTTTTTTCATTCCTGCATTCAACAATTTTCACTCACAACAGTATTTGATGAACAATTGAAAACACCGACGACATTTCTTTATGTAATTAAAAATCCTATTTCCACCTAACTTTCACAAAATAGTATTCCCCAACAGCCAAACGACTAATCTCTAATCGCCGAAATCTTCCCCATTCTCTCCCCCAGGAAATTCCTCCATCAGACATCACCGCAATGTCGACAGAGCACTCAGACCCCCCAAGACCCCGCACATACCGCTCAAACGATGCCCCCCAGCGCATAAAATACTACTTCCACGACGACAAGTTCGACACCTGGAAAGTCTACTTCGCCAACAACGCAGCCCTGGCCATCGCAAAGGTCGAGGCTTTCTTTTCAAATACGGAGAAATCGTGAAGATCGATCAGAGCCCCTCGAGCGCCTTCTGCTTCGTTCATTTCAAGCGAGAAGAAGACGCCAAGACGTGTGCTTTCGCCACGAGAGACAGCTCCACCATAAGACTACGACCATTCAGACAGACAAACGATCGTCAGGGCAGACAGAACAACTCGTCTCAGTCGAGACAATCTTTCGATAAAACTGGAGAGAATGGAAAGTCTGCAGCTGCTGCGAAAGCATCTGTTGCCGATCGTCTGAAGGTGAGAGACAAAGTTCCTGATGGAGAGGCTGTGCAGGAGAGCTGTGACACCTCAGCCACTTCGAGACCCCCAAGGAGCTACGAACTGTACTCAAGCACGAGTGCGTCCACTGAGTCGATCCCCATCGATCCAAAGGGATCTTCAGCTCATCGAAGAAGCAGTCCTTCGAATGAACTCCCTGAACTCGTCCAGAGGACGTCCATCGGATGCCCAATGAAAGTTGTTCAACCATTTGCTCCATCGATGACCTGGCCGAGACTTCATCTACCAATCGTTCAACATATCACTCTTCAGGACGTCGTTGTCGCCAATATTCATGAATTCTGCGACGTCGACTTCATCCTGGACATGCTTGAGCACTTCCATCCGGTCTGCGCATCGAACATGGAGGTCATTGTTGAGAAATCGCTGAGATACTGTTACGTTTACTTCGAGACCCCTGAGCAGGCCAGGGCTGTCGAAGATACCTATGATAATGCTGAGTTGTACGGGAAGAGTCTCATTGTTCAACGTCCTGAGAGCCTTGCTGCCAATGCGGAACGTCTTTCTTAGGGGGAGCACTACACAGCGTGAGGTGCTATTGAATAATTAGCAATTGCAAAGATTTGATTTTCCGATTTAACGATTTAATAGGCTAGTTTGAGATTTAATATTCAGGTGAAGGCTTCATAAAATCAAATTATTATTATTTAAAGTCTTGAAGGGGTTTTGAATATTGGAAAAAATTTAGAAGATGTGCAAATGAACTCTCACTTTATCGAATTGTTTTCTGTCTCACGATTTAGAATTCTGTCACATCGTTTTCTGGTTATTCGTTAGATTTTTTTGTTGAATAGGGGGAGCACTAGACAACATGAGGTGCTATTGAATAATTATCAATTGCAAAGTTTTGATTTTCCGATTTACTGATTTGATAGATTAGTTTGAGATTCAATATCCAGGTGAAATTTTCATGAGATCGAATTGTTGTTATTTAGAGTCTTGAAGGGGTTTTGAATATTGGAAAAAATTTAGATGTGCAAATGAACTCTCACTTCATCGAATTGTTTTCTGTCTTACGATTTAGAATTCTGTCACATCGTTTTCTGGTTATTCGTTAGATTTTTTTGTTGAATAGGGGGAGCACTAGACAACATGAGGTTCTATTTAATAATTATCAATTGCAAACTTTTGATATTCCGATTTAGCGATTTGATAGACTAGTTTGAGATTCAATATTCAGGTGAAGTCTTCATGAAATCAAATTGTTATTATTTAGAGTCTTAAAAGGGTTTTGAATATTAGAAAAAGTTTATATATGCAAACAAATTTTTTTTTCGTCTAATTGTTTTCCATCTTACCATTCAGAATTTTATGGCATCATGTAACTATTCAGGTCCTAGTTTATTATTATCTGTAACATTTTTTTCTGTTGACGATAAACATAGAGGGTATTTTTATTTTTAAGTTGTAAAAGACGATTCGCATTATTCAACATTTGATAGTTTAAATGTATGTAAGTACAGACTGTAGTCTTAAAGAGTGGATGACAGCATTTCAATTGATGCTGATTGACAACCGCTTTCGAGCCTTTGATACTCGTATTTGATGAACTACTTGGACAATTAATATTCATGTCAGGTTTCCATACAATATCTCATAATTGGAAACTGAAACATAATTTTTGAATAATTTAGGAATTGATTCAGATGTCTTAAATGTTTTCGAACATGAGAAAAAACTCTTGGGGATGTGAAAATGATCGAATTGTTTGTTTTATTTATCCTACGATTTAAAATTTCAGGACAACTCATTTTTCCTCGTCTCTTGGTCCTGTTTTTAATTTTTCGACGATCATTTTCTATTCTGCCAGGGCGGTAATAGATGTCTCGTTAAATGTAAGTTCATGTTCCGTTCAGTTCATTTTTTTTTTTAAATAAGGATTAATTACTTTGAGAAAATGTGGTATTATGAAATAAAACATCATATTCTCTGAGCTCCACTTTTTTACCACCACTTTCCTAATGAATTCTTTTAATAATTTATTATCTATCGTAAGCAAAAGTTTTGAAAAATATGAATACTTCTATCAAATTGAAACAAATGAAACAAAATTTTTGCATCCGTGTATCTATCGTCAGAGGTGTTCAGTAGAAGTGATTACATTAAATCTATATGAAATCACACTTTTATTATTTATTAATACAAAAAAACTATCAATATTGATGTTCTTACGAGCGAACAAATTGTGGTATCAACGACTTTCATGAGTAAGCGATCTATTCTATACTAAATGAAGCAGTCTTTGAATCCTTATTATAATCCTCGATCCTTATTAAATTCGGAAGAGTTCTGATCGCATTCTCAGAATTCTATCAATTCGAGAATCAATCTCGCACTTCCCTCTTCTCCTCTGTTTATAGTAGAAAAATATCACTTCATTTATCTATACAATTTACAGAATAAATGAATTTGAGCTATCCCAAGCGTAGACCGTTTACCTTATATTCAAATGAGCATCATTAACATCTAATTGCTAAACATTGGCAAAGTCCTCTTAATATAATGAACGAAAAATAAAAAATCGTACTTGAAAAAACTTTTACTACATCTGTTACTGATAACGAAATCGTAAAAACATGGAATATATGATGACCTGAATTCGAGATTCAACATTTTACTCTACAATCCACAGTAGGAAGAAATAATAATATAATTAAAGAAATGTTTCCACCCATTCATGGACAATATTTAATACATAATCTAAATGTATTTCACTGGGGTAATTGCGGCAAATTTGCAAATACCCAAATCGCGGAGTTTCCATCGAATTTCGTAGTGGGTGTCCAATATCATCATGTTGCGAAATTCCAAAGGCCTGGTCTTTTCTCTACGAAATTCCATAAAAATTCAATGAAAAAATTCGAGATGTTTTTTGCACCTTTTTCTAGTGAAAATTACTTTTTCTCTATTTCTGATTGGAAAATCTAGTAATAAAACCTTGAGAAATCAATACCCAAGAATTCTTTTCGAAAAAAAAAACAAGCAAAATCAACATTGTTTGATTTTTTTCTATCAATAATTAACTGGAAAACGACAAATTTGCACAATTTTCAATAAAAGTCGGTGCAAAAAACGGATAAAATGTCAATTCAAATTTTCATAGAACTCGCATGGAATTTCTTAGAGAAATGGCAAATTTTTTTGCATTCAATTTTTTCCCAAGTGATGAGAGACAACGAAATCTCCCTAAAAATTTCCTTAAACCTCAAGAAATCGTTTCGTTTTATTGTTTTGCTACTGATATTACTCCCCTGGAAATTTATCTCAACTCCAGCTGTATATTTATTACCTTATGAACTATAACGCTTTGTATTTGCCGTGATCATTGGTTTTTTAACCAATACTACAATTTCCTTGATGTTCTCTCATCACGTATGAAACAATTTAATAGAAAAACCTAGCGCTTACTCTGAAAAATTCTATTGAGAGATTCTACTTATTGTTTACACCAAAAATCTATTAAAAATGATGCAACTTCCCCCGCGTTTTGAAATAGACTTTTTTTTTTTTAATTTCTACAGATATGTTGATTTTTCTATATAAATATTTCTTGTGGAATTTTTCGATTTTTTCTATGAGAATTCTGGGGTATGACATAAAATGACGCAAACAACAGCTAGAATTTTTTAATCGAATTCTTATAAAACTTCAACAGAATTCTCATAGAATTCCAAAAGCGCTCGGTTTTTCTGTTAAATTTTTTCCCGCGTGACCAGCATCAGAAAAATTCATCCCATCATAAACTTCGTTTCACCTCAATGAACGATTGAAAAATAAACACTGCTCCAATGATCACTGGCCCTAGACCTTCTTGAAGAGCTTCTCGTCGTCATTCAGCATGGACAGAGTCTGGTTATAATGATCAGTACAACGACTCGCCTTCTCCTCCTCCAACTGCATCAGCAGCTCTGTGAATGCGTAGTTGTCCAGGTTCTTGGCAATGTAGTACAGGAACAACCAGTCACCGAAGTGATAGTCGCGGACCATTTGGAGGGCATACCAGGGTTCGGATTTACCAGGACATGCCATTGAAAACAGTACACGATTGAAACGATCACTCCTAGAGAAACATTTTTTAAAAATCAAGAATTACCAACAGCTGAAATTTGAGAACTTCATGGGAATTTCTCAAGAGATGATGTGGAACATGAAAAATAATCCAAAAAGACATCGCATCTTCGTCGAGATAATTAGAGTAATGCATCATTTTTTGTGTTCTCTAATGACTATTTCGTTGTGCAAGAGAATGGAGAAGTATCTGATTTTTTTATTCAACTAGATTAGGCCGCGCGCGACGCGGAATAGTGTTATATATTATATATTCCAGGAATGGATTGTATTTTGTTATATATAATACATCGAGTGCAACGTTTTTTGAAGTCAATCTAGTCGGCGTATTGTGTCATTAGATTTTTTGTAAATGATTATAGCATACATTAACGATATTACGATAATAGTAGATTATGTTATATTCTATACTATACAATACATAATAGAGTACTATATATGTATTATAAAATATAATGTACATAATAAAAAAAATTAACTAATAAACTGATAACAATAATAACATACATTGAGTACACGATATTTTGCTATATTACATACACCATTATATACGCATAATATATTATAATATAGTATTATCATAATATTTTTAATCATCATTTATAAACATCTAATGACACAATACGACGAACAGATTGGCTTCAAAAAACGTTACACTGGATTTTTTATTAAAAAAAAATTTTCATGCAAAACCTCAGTTTTATTTTCATGAAATTTCATGGAATATTCAATGAAAATTTAATGTTTTTTTTTTAATAAAATCAAATTTGATCGTGTGATTATGTGAATTTCCTATCGAAAACTATTGAATCGTCTCAGACCTGTAATACTGATAATTTTTAATAAATAATCATGAATAACTCACCTCGAGTACACGAACATAGTCGCAAGCCTCCAGACGACGGCAACCCCAGAGATAATCGCTAGGATGATGAACCAGAACCACAGGAACAGATAAATCTTCTCATTGACGATGTTCAGTGCCATGACACAGAGAGCATCCCACTTCTCAACCCCTCCAGAGGACCCATACTTATGAAAAATGCACTTGGTGACCTTGGGAAATACCATGTCCAGTGGTGACACTCTGCTGGTCCAATCATTGTACTCGATAACGCGCATACCGAGATCCAGGAAGGCACCACCGAGGAAGGCATTCGTGAGGTAGATCTGCAGGATGACATTGAGAAAATTCAAAGTCTCGCAGATACCGAGGTAGTAGGCCCACGTTCGATTGACGCGAAGATTCGTCACGAAGTAATTCCGGATAAGCTGGATTTTCTTCTTGTGGTCGGCTTTCGAGGGAATGGATACGTCATTCGACACCTCGATTTTCTCGTCCTGAAGGGATAGAGCTGCCATGTGAAGCCCAGAGACGAGTCTCTTCAAACGACCACCTGTTGATCATTTCATATTGATTAATATCTTACTCTTACTCTGAATAATTTGGAATGATCGGTTCTCCGGAAAAAAATTTTTTCCGGATTTTCCATCGCGCAGGAATTCCTAACAATTACGATTGTACAATCAAAAAGAGTAGAAGAAAAACTGAACATTTTCAAAGAGCGTTTTTAACAAAGATTAAGAAATAAGTTCGATAGAGAGGAAATAGTGAATGAACAATTTATCATGGTAACTATCTGACAGCCATTGACTACTGTGACAAATGGCGACCTAACAGCCATTAGCTACATCAAATTATTAATTTGCAATTTCCTCCCTAGAGGATTTATTTCCCAATATTATTCAAAAACGCTCTTTGCAAATGTTCAGCTCTTTTTCAACATTTTTTTTGATTGTACAATCATAATTTCTGGAGACTCCGGGGCTACGTAAAACTGAATAGCAATTGGAGATCATTTTTGATTATCAAAATAAAAAAAACAACCAAGATCACGTTCAAAAGATGATCCGGCCGGGCCTTAAGAGTGGTATTAACGAACTGACTCCTTCAAAATTTAACGGTAATTATAATTTATGAATATGGCTATCTCTGATTCTCGCAGAAAAATTTGAAAAAATGTTGGGGATTTTCTCACCTTCAGCGCCTCTCCACAGATAATGAGGTACGTAGAACACCATTGCTTGGAAAAACAGGACAAATGGAACCCATTGATAATAAGCATGATGAACAGTCTCCTCTGCTCCTGTGTAAGGACCCACTCCAGGATGGGGTATATGGTCTCTGTTCAGTACAGATGCGTTCATGTATTTTGTCTGAAATTACAAAGACATGAGAATTCTATTCTTTTTGAGGAAATTCTATTCTTTTGCCTGAAAAAATTGTCTGAAATTATAACGATATTAGAATTCTATTGTTTTTAAAAATTAAATTCTATGGAAAAGTTATATTTGTCTTCTATTAAATTCTGCGCCCATTTTATTAAAAATCATGAAACATTCCCGCGTTTTTGAATCTGGAGACTCAGCAGACCGAGTAAATATCGAATAGTTCGGATAAAAGCAAGAAGTTGACGATTCTAACGTCAGAGACCTGTTTTTGAAAAAAATCAGCGAATAAATTGAACACTTCGCTTTCGAAAGATTGTTGTCATTTCTAAACACGTCAAGTTAAATTTTTCTCAAGTTCCAATTTTTTTTACATTTATTTGATGCCTAAAGGCGGTGAGAGAATACTTTTCCTATCAATTTTTTCCATGGTTAAATGATACGTGATGAAAGAAAATGGTCTTCGGCAATTGCAAATTCATTGAAAGATTGTTGTTTCAAAAAAATCATACTCACGATGGTGAAAGTGGAGGAGAAGAAGCAGAACGAATTAATCACAGCGCTCACCTTCTTATCATTCGTGTTATCTGTCATACATCTGTAAGAAATTTTACGCAGAATGAAATACACAAATTGAATAAAAATGCAGAATTGAGAGAATTAAAGTTGTTTCATCGACTTACTTAATGTGATCTCCGAAGAATTGCTTGGAACAAACAAGCAGAGATCCAATCAAGAGTAACGCGAATGTGGCTCGATAATGCAGTCTGAAAACTATTCATAGAAAAAAATTGCATTATGGTCAGTTCCATATCAAAATATTTCAAGAGGAAATTCCATTAAAGAAGAAGAAATTCCAACAGCACTTCAATTCACGGAGAGAAATGTTCAGTAAAAATTACGGAACTCACAATGTGCTCACCGATTACGGAATCGACTCAGAAAATTTAAGTGACGGTATCGCAATTTTTCACAGGAGATTCAGGTAAAAATTACGGAACGCTCTGGAAAAATTCCGTGACAGTTCCGTAAAATTTACTACAACCACATTTCGCTCCGGAATTACGTAAAAGATACGTAATTTTTATCGAATATTTCTCTCCGTGAATGGAACTCCAGTGAATCCATCAAAATTTTATCATAACAAAAAATTGCAATGGAAATAAAAAATATAAATGAAGATTTGATAGCATTTATACGTAATATCACGTCATTATCGTCAATTTAAAAACTAGCGGATTATTTGTCTATGGAAAATTCAATTTGGGGGATTTTCGAGGCTTTAAGGTTCAAACGATCCTATGAAAATCGTTTTTCAGGTGCAAACGACCTTTTTTGGTCCCGTAAAAATATTTTAACACCTTTAGATTTGCCTTAATCATGTCTGATGTTCAATCATGAAATTTGTCAATTAAATTACGTGAGAAAAATTTGAAGAAAAATCATGAATATTCAGCGTCATTTGAATTACATTTTTCATAGAATTTTTTTTTTTTTAAACTTCGTTGTTTACAAATAAATAAATGAAATTGTTTAAATTTTCGGAAACCTTATTTTTTAGGCATGAAATCAATTTCTGGTAAAATTCTGAATATGAATAAATTTGTTACGATTCCAAAAAAATTATCTTTATGGTGTAAAATTCATTGTTTATAAATTATTTATAGAAAATGCTCGTAATTTTTGAAAATTGCATTTTTTAATTATTTCATCAATCTTTCTCCAAAAGTAAACTTTCCTAATTTTTTTCACATTTTTTAAATGTGTTTTAACAGTTCAATATGCAAAGTTCAAATAATAAAATCATCAATAATAGAATCAAATGAAAGCTCTGATGTTTCTAAGTCGATTTTGACCATTGGCCATTTTTCAGCGAATATCTTGGAATCTAAGAGAGATAACTAAATTTTTGTTGAAACCTTTTTTGTAGCGCTCAATTTGCTCTAGAAAAAAGGTTATTACCAAAATTTCGTCAGCTCCCTTAGATTCGGAGATATTCATCAAAAACTCAACTAAGAGATGAGTCGACTTAAACCGCTTCACGACTTCTCTACTGAATTCCAACAGGTCTACCAGAACTTTATCAAAATAAGAAGTTTCAATGAAAATAAAAAATGAAAATGAACATTTAATAGAATTTCCACGTGATACACGTATCCCGCGATTATCATCAATTCTACATTCAAAAAAATTCCATTCCCACAAAAATGAAACAATCCCCCCACAACCCATGAAGAACACCGCCAGTAATGCCACCGGTGAATTCACCGCAGCACGTGGAAAAAAAATCGACGAGTCCAACCATCGATCATTCCGCCTTCCAGCCCTCGTCAGCATCGTGAGTCGCAATTCCCCGATATCATAAAAAAAATACACAGAAAAACAAAATCACTCACCGATATTGTCAATGGTAGTGGCGTCCTGCACTACTTTCAGTTTGACATGGTCCTTGAGAACCGAAAAACTACTAAGAACGGTAGTAGCAGTCATCCCTAGCTCTCCCTTCGGCGTGGCTCAAGTAGACGAAGAATAAAAAATAATCACGAGATTAATAACTCTCCAGTTGACAATCAATTCACCGGCACTCGATCGCGAGGACGAAATAGCGAAGCTGAAGTCTCGGAAGCTCGACTCCGAATGGACAATTTTTCGCGACTGGCTCATTGGCCAAAAACTAATGCCCCCCCTCTCTAAAATCACCGCAATACCGGCGAGTCTGGATTGTTATGAATACTTGATCCCCAAGTGTGTTTGGACCACAAGACGAAGCGAAAAAAAGAAAATCGCCCAAGTGTTGTTCGACGATGTAAACAAACCACTTGATAATTCCTCGAACGTTTGCCCTTTTTGGGATTTAGTGACTCACTATACGACTTGGAATTTATTGGGTTTTCGTGCGAGCAGGGTTTTTAAAATTTAATAGAAAAACCTATCGAATTCATTAGAAAATTCTATTGAATTTCTATTAAACTTTCTATTAGTTTTTGGCTGATTCTATTATGTCAATAGAAAACATTCAATAGAAAAACTCAACCGAATTCGATTTTTCGATATAACTTATTCTTTTCATATATTTTCTATAGAATTTGCTCGACTCAAATTTTCCAAGTTTTTTTCACTCTATTTTTCTTTTCTTCTCATCAAGAAAATCAAACGAAAAAACTTGGAAAATTGGAGCCGAGGAAATTCTATAGAAAATATCTCAATAGAATAAGTTGTACAGAAAAATTTAATTCTATTTACTTTTTCTACTGAATATTTTCTATTGAACATTTTAATAGAAATTTAATAGAATTTTCCAACGAATTCGATAAGTTTTTCTATTAAATTTTTTCGTCCGAGGTAAATTACGTTGGTAAATTACACAGTTTTATACCAACGTAATTTACATAAATTACTTAAATGGAATAGTTGTTCTCGACCGTATGTTCTTAAATTATTCAAATTCTTCTGGGCCACGTTTCGGTCAGCAGCAATAATCAACACGAAAAAAATGTGTAAACTAGTTTAATCGCACTACGTTTCGAATGCACAAAGTGTTCCTCTTCACGACCATTTGTTACTCTAAATTAAAATAAAATTAAGATGTTCTTCGAGAATTCATTTCTAGCTGTCATCTGACGATGTAAACAAACAGCCGTACCGTTCTGTCATGTTAATTGGATGCAGTCTGACAGTATCTACACTGAAAATTCAACCAATTTTCATTACTTTCCATTTTTTACATTACTTCGGTCACTACAATGTTTTATTTTACTCCGACTGACGAAGACCACGGATAGCCAAGTTTGTAATGTTTAATTAGGGGAGGTTGGGGTAAAATGGACACTTTTGACTTTTTTTGTAATGTCAATTACGGGTTGAAATGTTAATAAAATTTGATAATTTTTTCTTCAATACAAAGAACAATTCTTTCCCTTTGTGACAAGCCCAAACTGAGCTCAATTGACCGATTTGTCTCGGAGTTATGAATAATTAAAAAAAGTCTAAAGTGTCCGTTTTACCCCACCCTCCCCTACTTTTTCTCTTTTATTATAATCAACTGTCAATCATTCCTCTTCATTCTCATTAGTTCTGCGATATTCACGGCATTACATTATTAAATTCACCTTCGGGACAAGCCGCGTTATATGGGCGCGGTACGTGAGGGGTTAAACAAAAATCCTCAATCAGCAAGAGATTTCAATGAGTATGAAGGTTCATTTTACCACACACACCCTTCCCCACGTCATCTAAATACTGCCTGAATAAGAGGAGAAGGAGAATAAAAAATTGTAACTGCCAAGAATATTTATTACAGATCGTGAATATAGAGTTCACAGAATTTTCAGTTGTATTTTATCCACAGTAGTTCCCGCCAAGATGATAATTCAAAAAAAACGCCGATTGTATACCAGCGTGTTCATATTTTATTTACATGCATCGGTTAACCTAAAAGTTCCCATTGTCCCCTCGTTATTCATCAACAAAAGTATTGTTTAATTAAAAAATCTAAAAAAGAGCTGAATTCATCATAAAGTGAGTAAGTAACATTAATTACAGACGCACATGTCATTGTCATTTAAAAATTACAATTTGAATCATTGAATTAGATAATTCATGTCATTGAAAAATTTGCGTGTACGTTTTCTCCAATTCATAACTCAATAATTAAAATAACAGCAAAATAATGAAAATCATGAGGATATGATTTACGAATTCTATTCATTACCATTCTGTACATGACATAAGATAGCTCAGGAGATCAAAAGCTACTCGTGCACGTCATTTTCCCCAATAATTCATAAAAATAAAATTTACAACATGGAAAAAAAATCAAGAATAAAATCATATGATAAAAAATAATTGAATCATAATATGATGCATTCAATCTACTCATGCGCGTTATTTTCCCCAATAACTCATAAAAATAAAATCTACAAAATGATAAAAATCAAGAATAAAATCTCCAAATGCAATCCACTCCCATTTTTCCACTAAAATAAAACAACACGGACGAAAAAATTTAATAGAAAAACCTACCGAATTCGTTAGAAAATTCTATTGAATTTCTATTGAACTGTTCTATTAGTTTTTGGCCGATTCTATTGAAATGTTCAATAGAAAATATTCAGTAGAAAAAGTCAATAAAATTCAATTTTTCTGTACAACTTATTCTATTGAGATATTTTCTATAGAATTCCCTCGGCTCAAATTTTCAAAGTTTTTTCGTTTGATTTTCGTGATGAGGAGAAAATAAAAATAGAATAAAATCAAATTAGAAAATTTGTGTCGAGCAAATTCTATAGAAAATACATGAAAAGAATAAGTTATATAGAAAAATCGAATACTGTTGACTTTTTCTACTAAATGTTTTCTACTGAACATGTCAATAGAATCAGCCAAAAACTAATAGAAAGTTTGATAGAAATTGAATAGAATATTCTAACGACCTCGATAGGTTTTTCTATTAAATTTTTTCGTGGGTGAACTCATGAAATTGAAAGCCACACATAAAAATCAAAATAAAAAAATCCCCAAAAATCGGAGGACCCCAATCCAAAAAGCCTATTCACCCCCTTCAATTCACGCCCGCAGTAAAAATGGAGAGACGTCCCAAAAAAGTCGAGGACTTTTATCACCACTATCCCCGCTCCAACGACTGGGCGGTGAGCTTCACCAACAACAAGCAACTCCCCCCGGAACAACTGAAACAGTACTTCTCCAAGTGGGGGACAATAAAAAACGTGAGGCAGACTGGGACCTCAGGCGCTGGTTACTGCTTCGTGCACTTTGAGACTGAGGAGAGTGCACGTAATTGTGCGATAGACATGAAGAGTAGTTTCAGCATTAGACTGCGTCCCTTCCTGGATCGTCCACCCTTGTCAAGTCGCAGGGAGGCAGAGGATACAGGACTCGATGGTGAGGAGCTGGATTTTTCATTCAAGAAGAGAGAGCAAAAGGATCAATCGAGAATCTGCGATGAGAATAAGAAGATTGAGGACAAATCGAATGATTCAGGCATTCGTGAGGAGATCAATGACTCGAATAATCAGCAAAAAATCGATGGAAAATCCTCGAAATTGAATGGTCAAGGGCTTGAGCCAATCGAAGCAGCTGTTGCTCGTCAGAAAATCCTGAATCGTCCACTGGAAATCAAGGAAAACTCTGATTATTTGATGGTATCATCGAATAAAACGAATGGATTGACGTCTACGTCACGAGAGATGAATGGAATATCTAATGGTTCAACTTCATCCACCTCCAGGGAACATTCTGAGCCATCTGAGAAGATCCTGAAGTACTCCGGAGCTTCCCCCACCCCCAGAAGGCAATCTTCTCAAGGGGAAATTCCTGAATTACGAGAAGCGTCAGAAGTCCTTGGGGCCTCGGCATCAGGAGCTGTCGTCAGACCTAGTGATCACGTGGAGTCTGTCACAGCTGAAGAGGTCGTCGTGGCCAACATCCCTGAGTCCTGTGGGATTCATCTCATCCTGGATCTGTTTCAGCAGTTCGAGCCCATCTGTGCAACGAACATCAAGCTGATTCGCCAGAATTTCATTCGCTATTGTCATATTTACTTTCAAACACCTTTCGCTGCTGAGGCTGTCGAGACTATCTATGATAATGCTGAGATTTATGGGAAGAAGCTCATTGTTCTGCGGGTGGAGAGCTTGGAGGAGGCGGCGAGGGCTTAGGTCAGGATGCAAGGGCTTTATTTTATTCGTGTATGGAAAAGTTTATGAAAAACACAGCACTTTCGTCGTGAAATTTTGTTTGAACTCTGGAAAGGTTGTGTTGAATAAGTCTGTTGGTGTTTTGGGGCATTTTTTAGTAGATATTTAGTAGAAAAAGTCAATGAATTGTTATTTTTTATAGAAAATTCTTAAGCGTTAATTTTTCCAAGTTTTTTAATTTGTTTTTTACAACAAAATTCAGAAACGAATAGCTGAAAAATTCCTTATAAAATTAACAATATGCATAGACTTTTTTCTATCAGAAAATATCATTTTAAAAATTGCATGATTTTTTATGAAATTAAAAAGAAAAACAGATGGATTTTTTTCAATAGAATTTTTCTGAAAGTAGCATTAGGTTTTTTTTGTCGTGAATGACTAGACTGGAGTCTTATGATTTTTTTACATGACTAACTATGGTTCTTTTAGTTTTGACATTTCAATGTTTTTTTTTTGTATAATGGCACGTCTGGTTTTGAGTTGAAATTGAGATTTTGTTGCAACTTTGTTGAAAGTTTATTTGCTTCTTGTCGATTGACATTAAAAATTATGAAGTTTCGTACGATTTTTGATTAAAAAAAGTCGATGGATGTTGATTTTTTTATGTTCCTATTGGAAAAAATTCAGGAGAATGAGGTATATATTAATATCTAAATCTATGGAATGTTTTTATTTTCAATAAAAATGGGAATCTAACTAAAAGAATATGAAAAAGTTGGATTTTCGAATGCTTTAGAAAGAAGAGAACAGAAATAGTTTAAAAAATATTAAAATTTAGACAGTAATAATTTTTATTTGTTAATTAACTGATTATATTATTAATTAACGTCAAGTTTAAGCGATTTTTTATTTCTGATTGATTAAGATTCGTTTCATGTCTTCCTGTTCTGACTATATTCATCTGCATAATTGAAACCATTTGTTCATAAATATCGTGAGCATATTTTTCCAATTTTATCCTTTCATTTTTAATTTTTCTGTAATGCATTAATTTTAGTGCACTTTATAAATGGTTTCAGTACTTTAATTTCAAGCGTATTGGAAGCCTTGACATATATTTACTTAGATGCTAGTGGATCCAGGAGATTATAAAAAAAACGAGAATGTTTATGAATGCACGTCACATTTGTGATAAATACTATTGTTTACGCACATTGTATAGATGTCGATTTTTTTTCGATTTTATAAAAAAGGATTTTTTAAATCTGATATTGATGGAGTAGAGATGAGGCTGTTCATGAATAGTGAATAAATAAACTCGATACTGATGTATTTCCGCAGTGCTAAATTTTTTATTTCCCCAAATATTGATTAAAAACGAAAAAATCGTGGGAAGCTATCTAATTAATTTAATTTGGATTTTATGTCAACGAATGTTTGTACATTGTGAGTTATAATTTATTCCATACTTTTGGTTACGGATGGAAAAGTTTCATAGAAAATTCTACCGAGTTCGCTGGAAAATTCTATTGAATTTCTATAGAACTTTCTATTAAAAGATTCTTTGTCGATTCTATTGAAAAATTCCACAGCTTATCTGCGCGCTTTATTTCAATACGAAAGTTCAATGGAGAATATTCTATAGAACACATCAATAGAATTTGATTTTTCTATATAACTTATTCTATAGAAAAATCAAATTCTATTGATTTTCTCTATAGAATAAGTTCTGTAGAAAAATCAAATCTATAGTTCGTGTATTTATTGATGACCACGAAAAACTTAATCCTTTAGTCCATATTTTTTATTACGAATGGAAAAGTTTCATTGAAAATTCTACCAAATCCGCTGGAAAATTCTATTGAATTTCTATAGAACTTTCTATTAAAAGATTCTTTGTCGATTCTATTGAAAAATTCCACAGCTTATCTGCGCACTTTGTTTCGACACAAAAGTTCAATGGAAAGTATTCTAAACAAAAAATCAATAGAATTTAATTTTTCTATAGAACCTATTTTTTGGAAATATTTTCTCTAGAAATTCCTCCGCTCAAATTTTCTACGTTTTTTTCTTTGATTTTGGTATGGAAATAGAAGAAAACTAGAGTGAAAAAAATGGAAAAATTCATATCAGGAAATTCCTGCAGAAAAAATTTGTAGAAAGATGAAATCCCACTGCTTTTTTCTATAGGACAATTTCTGTTGGACATTTTCTATGAAAAAACGCGTAGTAAAGCCGCGGAACTCAATAAAATCGGAAGGAAATGAACAGAATTTTCAATAGAAGTTCGAACGAAATTCAATAAAATTGTCTGTTGAATTCGCTAGATTTTTCTATGATAATATATTTATTTGCCAGATAGTATGGCCTTTGTGGCCTTATGCAGTCCCTTCCTCAATTTCTACCAGTAACTTTGGCGTTAAATTATCAAGAGATAAGCAATTTAGTTAAATTCTAATAATTTGACTAATAATTTGACTAAATTGCTTATCAAGAAATAAGCAATTTAGCAATTTAAATTGCTTATCAAGAAATAAGCAATTTAGTCAAATAGCATAGATTCTTCTATGAATTTTTTGTGTAATTCTCTTTGGAATGAATAAATCTCCATTTGGTTCAGTGATCTACTCAAGGTCATCCCGAGCGAAGAATGAGTACAACAGCAACACAAGGGAGTCAGTACAGTCAGCCTGAGGAGATTAGCCTTTGGTTTTGAGAGGTGGGAGACAAGGACGTGAGTGGGGATTGGGCTAAGTGGGGGTAACTCTGAGGGACACAATCTCCTCACTCCGCAGTTCTCTCTGATTCTCTCGTTCTGCTCCGAACAGTCACGTTGCTATCAAGTTTAATCACTCATCCCCTGGATTCACATTACGAATTGCAAATCTCGTGGGAGTGAAATGTGGTGTAGTGTTATTCATCGCAGAATGCATACTAATTAATTAATTAATTGATCATTAATTGCGTGCGTAAATGATAGAATTGTAATTCAGGTTGACAAGACTTCCAAGAATACAATAGAGGGATAAAAGTATTGGTAAGTTCACGTATCTCTTGCATACATTCCATAGTAAATTCCCCCTCAACTACAATTCATCACCACACGCACGAAAACGTCAGAAAAACGCAGCGAATTCGACGGAAAATTTTGTTGGATTGCTATCGAATTTCTATTGACAATTATATCAGTTTTTGGCCGATTCTATTGAAGAATTTCACAGTACTCCAATTTTTTTTCTACAGAAAAAGTCCAATAGAAACTAGTTTATATGAAAAATCCGCAGAATTTCAGCTTTCAAGACAAATTTTAAACACAAATTTTCAAAGTTTTTTTTCATCATATTTTTCTCTTTTTATTTATAAAATCAAACAAAGAAACTTGGGAAATTTGAGCTGGAAAATTTCTCTAGAAAGTCTATAGAGTAAGTTGTATACAAAAATCGAATTCTGTTGATGTTTTCTATAGAATATTTCCCACTGAACATTTTCTATTAAAAAAAAAACGCATAGAAATAGTGGAGGAAAATTTCGGAATCATCTGAGGCACGAATATCGAGATTGAACAAAGAGGATCTTATGCGGGGCGTCCGACGCGCTATAATAAAATAAACACCCGAGACCATTGATACCTTGGCCACGCACCGGGGACTTTAGTCTAAACAAATGACGAACACAGGGTAATAGTAGATCTCCACGAGGCATGGGCCAAACAGGGATTATGGGTCCCCCCCGAACTCAATTTTTTCATCTCATGAGAATTCTGTTCTTAATAAAAAACGAATTCGTAATAGATTGATAAATTCCGAATACAGTGAATTTTTTGTAAAATTATATAGTGCATAGTTTCTGCGATATTCAACTCTAAACAATAGAAATTTCGTGAAATCATTCATTATTTGATTCAAACAATTAATTAACCCTTCGTTACTCGCGTCCATGGCACCGCGTTGGTGGAATTCTATTTTTTAGTATAACTTCCGAAAAAACTCATTAAAAAATATGAAAAAAATTCTATCTCTCATCGATTTTATCTAAAAGCATATTCTGCCATTTCTAACGACGACCAAAGCTCCTGGTCAGAGGAAATTCGCCCCTATGCTAACTGGAAATGAAAAACCGCGCCGTGCCGCGACGCGGCTGACGGTGTCATGGACATATTCACACGGTGTTGCCACAGTTGTGGCTCCCGCGGCTTCCGGGAGACCAGGCAGATCCGATCAATTATACAAACTCGTGTCTACAACTCGGGCCTTCAATTGAAAGCCCGAGTTGAAGACCCGAGTTTGT